TGAAGGAAAAAATTGGGAAAAAAAGACTCAAAATCATTCAACTTAAAAACTTGAATAAAATTAAAAACACCACCAATATAAGAAATTTAAATCACCCCATTTCCTATTTTTAGATTCTCTTTATAATACACCAAATCAGAAGTAGAATTCCATACAAGAAAGCGCTTCAATTTTCTTTTTCGTTTTACGCCATCTTCCTTCCAATCAAAAGTTCATAATCACACTTCTTTCATACCTTTCTAATAAGTTCATATTATCAAACCATTGATAAGATGCCTCTTAGAAACTGAACTTGAAGAATATGATTGCTTGAATACTTGCAAAATAAATATTTTTGGAAAAAGACTCAAATCATTCAACTTAAAACTTGAATAAATTAAAAACCCACCAAGATAAGAAATTTAATTAACCCCATTTCCTATTTTTAGGTTCTCTTTATGATAACACCAAATCAGAAGTAGAATTCCAAAACTTTCATTCACAAACTTAAAATTGCCTCAAATATTAAAACAAATGAAAACACATAATTCTTGCCTGAAATCCCCTGCTGCTAAGCTGCTTAACCGCAATATCAACTTCCGAATAAACATTATCTCGCAAAATGCCCCTATAAACCGGTCCAAACCCACCTTCCCCAAGCATAAGTGACCGGCTAAAATTCCGAGTGGCCGTTTTTAGCTCGGAAAATTCGAACACCCTAAGATTGCTAGTCCCTTGGGACAAACTCTTCAACGACACTTTAGCTGATGATGCACTGCTGACATCAGATATGTTCTGGGAAGTATATTCGGACCCCGATTTTCTCGATGGAGATGAATGGCCGGAAGTTACTTTCACGGTTTTTTTATTATTTTTAATTCGGTTGCCATTGGAGAATGGGAAGCACCCCATAGGCATATCGAATTCGATTTTATTTTATTTTATATTTTATTAAAACCCAGAAAATAGCAGGGATTGATTTGCCTGCATAAGACAGATAAATAAACCTTAATGCAATTGATCACAAATGAATTAAAGGGAGACAATAAAGCATAGAAAAATTCCATTTTGCAGGGAAATTGAAAAGAGAACAATAAATTTTAAAGTATACTAATTTCTATAGGGGAGCAAAATAATTGAGAATCATGAGAAGCAATAATTCAAGAATCAATTTCCAAATGGCAATCTCTTACAGAATTTCAAAAATCATAGTACTAATCTAACCATATCCCCACACAGCTGTGTTCAATATGATTTTTCTTCAATTTGAACATAAAACCCTCTTCCTCAGACAATCTAATTAATAATCAACACTTGTATCCAGAAAACATATATATATCAGAATATTTTGAGGGTAATTCATAGAGAAAGAGAGTTAGAGAGTAAGCATACTTACCTTTCAGAGCAACAGGGTCCTTTTATGATGTAATAATAATTCTTTTTGCCTTTGTGTTCCTTCAAATAGGCATTTATCTGGGCTTGTGTTAAAAGAGAGAGAGCAAAATTCTTACAAGAAATGCATAATGCGTGGCTATGAGGATCCATCATCTTTGGAAAGTCAATGGCAGGGCAGCTGGAGTTTTGCACACCAACTTTACACCCTCATTGATAACAACAATTTTCTTTCTTTCTTCTTTCCTTTTTTTTTTTTTTTAAATTATTGCATAAAAAGGATAGCATTGTCCTTATCGAGCAAGATTGATTTTTTTTTACCTGCTCAAGCTCGAGTTCAATTTATGACGCTCGAGATCGACTCGACAAAAGAAGACAATCACTCGAGCTCGGCTCGAGTTCGACTCAAATTTTAAGTAAAATTACGATTACGTACATATATAAAATATTTTAATATTTATATATAAATGGTATTTTAGTAATTAACTACATATCTCGAATCACTTGCGCTTCCAAAACCTATGCTCGAGGTCGACTCGATAACATGCTCGAACCGCTCGAGCTCGGCTCGAGTTCGATCAAACTCGAACTCAACCTGCTCGGTTTGTTTTCAGCCCTAATTGCAAATCATGGAACATAATACATAGATGAATTTGTAAATACTTGGTATGTAAGCTAACAATTTTATTTTTTTATTTTTATCACATATTATTAATTGGTTCAGTATAGAATCCCAAATTTTCTATTAGTTTAGCAAAAATAGATTTATAGTTCGAACTTCAAACAAACGAAACTATCTAGTTATTGGAATTCCATTTTACAGTCCTCTTAGTAATTAAATTGAGTTCGAGTTTAAAATATAATCCAATATATTATTTGAGCCCGACTATAAGAACAAGTAGGCATAGTGTTAAAAAAACTTACGTTATTATTAATTAATATAGTATTGATATAATAACGGTTTTTTTTTCTTCTAATTAATTATCTAAAAGAGTGGAATTTAAAGTACCAACTCAAGAATCAGCTAACAGACCGACTTTTTTTACGACCAGTTTTTGATACAAACGATAATGTATATTCATTGATGGAATTTTTTGCAGAATCAATATTATTTATGAACATCTTCTGTTTACGTTAATAAAATTTTATTTTTTAATGTAAAAATCTATCCCATGTTTAAAGAAGAATGAGAAAAAAAAAAATAATAATAGTATAATACTTTCAGATTAGGCTTAGTTGGATTTTGTAAGTTTTTAAGTAGCACGACTATTCTCATTTTTCTTATTTATTTGTTTTGTCCTTAATTCCATCTTTTTAGTATATATGAAGGGGACAAAATCTCTATATATATAATTACTAGCTAATGCATTTAATAAAACATTTAATAAAACCTATTTTCATTTCCCTAAAAAAGGAGTTATATTTTTTTTAATTAATTAATTACTCATTAATCTGCTAAAACCGTTACACCTTAATATATAGATTTTTATTATTTATTTTTTGGATCAGTTACTAAATTAATTCTAAATTTGATAGCAAAATATTGAAATGTGTAATGACAAATGTTGGAACTTAAAATTGATTGGCACATTTAGAGTTGTAACCGCTATATTTGGTTACATTATTAGAAGAAAAATATGATTGGCACATATTTTTTTTTTCTAAAAATCAGAAACACCAATATTTTTTTTATTATGTTAATTTTCTTAACATATGCCACAAATATATAAATTATTTTATTCATGTTACTAATGTAAACGTTGCATGGTTAAAATAAAATTTAATCTCAATTAATTTTGAATGATAAAAATAACTTAAGAAAAAGTAATAATTTTTATATGATAGAAATACATGTCTAATTAATAAATACAAACAAAAACGTATTATATCTGTGCAAATGCACAGGATCAAATACTAGTAAAAATTAAAAAGGAAAAATTAGATTTACGGACAACAAATAGTACAAAATATTAAAAATTGAGGGTGCAATTATTGTATGTAAATCCTCCTCTGCTTCTGAAGACACCTTTGTGCTTTATATGAAGAAAAACAAATACTTTACCGAGATAAAATAAAAAATAAAATTACTTATGGTGTCTTTATTTATTGGGTTATTTAGTTGAATAAATTCTTAAAAACTTTCGTCACAAAGTTAGAATCTGTTATATTCTGTTATACTGGGTTTGTTAGCACGCTCATTATGTTAGTCATGGCAGATTTTTCATTGCTAAATTAATATTATTAGTATCATTGTCATTATTAATTATTAGTATCATTGTCATTATTAATTATTAGTATCATTGTCATTATTATTATATCTAATAACTGTACGCATGTTATTGAATTTTGCTATTTTCATACAGAAAAAAAATATTCACATGAGACAAGGGGGAACGAAAGTATTTTAATAAATAATATATGGAAAGTATGTAGATATTGTTGGAGAAGAAGGGCCACAAAAATATTCTAATATTTGACTTTATTTTGATATATGTTCTTATCTCCTACTACTGGCAAGTGGCATGTGTGCCAGCTTTGTATGCATGCTGATTGTAATCTAATATCATAAATTTTATATGCTAACACGGTTTCATTTTTCAAGTATATATTTTTAGAATTTTTTTTATTTGCCAACACGGTTTCATTTTTCTTCAAGTATATATTTTTATAATTTAGTTCAGGTGTAATCATAATTAAGAAATCATCTGATTGTCATTTAATACATTGACGTACCCATTTTATCTTTTGGAAATAAATAATAATATCGTTCATCTATTTGATTACTTGTTCCATTTTCATTTAGCTAGATTGTTTCATTTTTGACAATTTATTGAAGTTCCCACACAAACCAAAATCTATATAGGCTTCGTTTTACACAAATTTGTCTTTAAAGTCGTTTCCTGCTGAGGAATATCAATCGAATTCTGATTTTTTTAGAATATTAATTAGTTGTCTCATGTTTATTATTTCAATCATCAATCCATTAAAAAATAATTTTTCAAAAAAAAATTGTAACATCTCATGTGATGAACACCAAATGTACCGAGTCTCTGCATGAAACTGCGCCTATGGTTTCCCATAACTTGCAAGGCGCCCGGGAGTTGTACTCGGAAGTCGGAACATATTGTAGAAATTAAAATATTAATATTTTATTAACTAATAGTATTTATTTTTTAACATAAATCCAATTATAAATAAGATATATAATTAATAAAATAATTATTTCTTTTTTACCAAGTCATAATGAAAAATCAAAGAGACTATATCAAATAATGAAAGACCAATTCCATTGATGTCTTCTTCTTCAAGACTTTCTCTACTACACTTATAAATAAGTGGTCTCACAAAACTAAAAGTGACACCTTATGAATTAAAGTTTCAAATTCAAAAGCTCTCAATATTTGAAGATCCAAATGTGTTCTTCCAGATTTGAAGGCATTCTGGAAGGTCCAAGGACATTCAATTTGAAGTCATTCTAGAAGATCCAACGACATTCAAGTCGAAGATCGACAATCAATCAAGTATCAAGCCTTCGAGCCTCTGAAGTACATTCAAATAGAGAATAAGGCTAAAAAGAAGAAAAAGAAGGCGCCGGTTCTTCTCCAATAATAACAATAATAAAAAACATGCACCGCCTCCAAACGTTCGGCTACATCGTCTTAGAAGGAGATTGTAGAAAATATTCGATTAGAGTATTTATCCTTGTGCACATAAATTATTTTATTTGTTTTCCGCAATTGCTTCCCTAAATTAGTTGTGGATATTGACATAATTATAGTTTTCTTGTAATCTTAATTTGTAAGCCTTAATTAGTTCTTTATATTTTTTTTAATTATGTGAGTCTTTTTCATTAGTAAAAATAAATGCCGGTAGAAATGGTTAAAAAAAAAGGCACAAATGTACCAATAAATAATATAATAAACTAAATATAGGAATAAATGCAATTACATTAACCAAAAGATTCAATTTTTAATTGATTAAAAAAACTGTAATTTGTAATTGATAAAGAAACAATTTGCATCCAGAACAAGGATTCACATTCATTTCACAAAAAAAAAAGACATTATCTTGGCTGCCCCTCTCTAATATCTTTTATTCAGTTATCAAATCATTTATGTGAAAAGAATTAAAGTGTTTCTCTATTTGCACCAGAATATGAAGCTAAACGAGCTATGCCAAATGAAAATGGAGGGAAATATTTATAAGTTATCATAACCGCACAAAAGAGCAGGGAGAAAAAAAAAGCTCAACCGGTCGATAAAGAGTCGCATAACGATCTGTATGCATCAACACAATGCTTGAATTTCTTTTCGGCATCTTCCTGTAAAATCAAAGTCTACGAGTCAAGTGTAAGCTGTAATCACATCCATTCAATCCATTTTGACAAACAAGGCTCTGAATAATCGATTATAATAACCAAAACCAAACTCAAATCGAGAGGACTGAAAGCCAAAACATACAAAAAGAGAAGAGAAATGAACATAGTCTATTACTTGCCACATAAAAAAGGTTTACATTGATGTTAAAAGCTGAAATAAACTTACCTTTGACAAACCTTGATGCTTATCAGGATGCCACTTCAAAGCTGACGCTCGAAAACTGCACCACAAAACAAACCATCATATAAGCTTTTTTTTTTTTTTAAATGATATTTAGCTATTCATGTCAGGAGAATGCCGTAAAAAAATACTCACGCAGCCTTAACATCTTCGATTTTCAGAGGACCAGCTGTCGGTAAGCCAAGAACTTTTCTATCATCATATGATCCTACAGTAAAAGAATTATCACAATATCCTTTCCTACTTTCACTGCCCTGTTGGTCAAATCTATTGTTCCTCCACTCAAAATTTTCTGTCCGATCAAACGGTAGTCCAGTGGGCCTGAAAGTCCAAGTAAACCCATGTTTGCCAAATGCAGCATGGAACATTCTTTCTGGGTTGTCGTCAAAATCTTCGTACGAATACTCTCTCTCACGTTTACCTGAAGTTTTTAAGCCAAAAAGGGAATATAGTTGCATAAAAGAAAATGCATTGCACCGGAAGATACAAACGTCATCATCACAGAACGGAAATTTGAATTTTGCATGGATGACGATAACAACGATGGACTTGTAAATTTTAACTAAACCAACACAAAATATGGTGTGGTCTATGGTGGTCTATGGTGCTTTAGGATACAACATGTCAATAATTTGTACTCAGTAGTAGCTTAGATATATACGTAGGTTAAGACTATCAATCATAAAACATTTAGGTCGGGAGACCCATTTAGGCAGAACTTCAAAATTATAAAAGACTGATACAACAACAACAAGCCGTTAAAATCCCACTAAGTGGGGTAAGCTATATAGATCACATGTAGCCATCGTGCTCGATCAAATTACATACCTCCACTCAAATTTAAATATTTTAAGTCATTTTTTATTGTTTTTTACAAGTTTTTTTA